CAACGTCAATAGTCTACATCATCCTCTTTTAATTGAGTCGTGAATTATTATTTGCTTGTTTCAAGTGACACGTTTAAATATATAACGACACAAAGTAGGAGAAACATAACATAAAAAAGAAGTGATGGAACTCCCAAATCTACTTGCATTGATCGGTTCTTGAGAACAGAGATTTTAATTTGCCAAACAATAAATTCTGCCAGCAAAGCCTTTTTTACAGATTGTGTATGTGAAACATTTTGCGGCCAGCATATCTTTCATTGACTGGGTTTTAAGTGGACGTTTGGTTTATGAATTCAGAATTATGAGTCAGAATAATTCTTAATTTATGTGTGTTTTTTGTGAAAAAAAATACTATAACGAATCATAAATTATGATTCAAATTATGGTTCGAATTCCCTTATCAAACGGACTCTAAGTCTTATATATACTACGTTTGTTCTCATAAAAACAAAAAAACAAATAAAAATAAAAATCTTGTACTATGTTTGGTAGAATTGAGAGAAGATACGATGATAGAAACATAGAAAATGAAAATATATATAAAAAAATGAAAAATAATTTTTTGTTTTAGTATAATAAATATAAGACGATGAGAAAATGAGTTATTCAATAATTAATATTATATCTATCTGTAAAAAACAAAAAACAAAAAAGTGTATTTGGTTATCTTTTTGTTTTATTTCTTTATATTTTTATGGTTTTTTTCCCTTTTAGTTATTAACTCTTATATTTCGTATATGTCCCATTAAAATATTCGTTTCGTTCTTTTAATTCATTCCAAAAAAATAATATTTTTATCAACGTGTTTCAATTTAAATACTTTTTTTCCCTGTGATACTAAAACTTAATATTGCATCAAAAGTATTTCTTGTAAAATGTTAATTGCCCCACTAAAGTAATTTGTTCTTACAATATGTTCATACCTAAGCATTTTTTCGACTACTCTCTCAATTAAATTTTTTTCATATATAAATACATTCATCTAATTTTCCTTTGTTGAAATATTTTTTTCTTAGATATATCCCTAATGTAGCCCATCTTAATTTTTGTTTCCTATAATCCTAAAAAATACTATGATGTTTCTAGTAATTCACATAAATACTCTTTTTTTTTTTTCAAATTGTATCCAACTAAATAGGAGAAAAATTAACATGAGTTGTCATCTTTTTATTAATAAATACAATATCTTATCATTAATTGACGTGATAACGTTTTATACGTGTACTAATATAAAAATAATAATTTATATGTTACATTAATTAATACCAAAGAATTAAAGTTTGAGTTTATCTTCCTAACATTATTCTTTAAATATTTTTCTTTTAGTTGGGTTGTTCTCTACCACTAGTTTTCCGTTGATGGTCAACTAGGAATTGTATTTTTTTTATAGTTCATTCAAAATACAAGTAAATAATATATGTTGTTGGTATATAACTAGAGACAAGAACCTTTTCATAGGCTCTTTACATGGGGTTTGGTTGCCGATTATTCCTGGGAGGTTGGGATAAACTTGGAACGGTAGCTAAAGACAACAAATACAAAGACAAAATACTTGAGGATTGGTTGGAGCAAATAGTCGGTTCTTTATCTATAGTTTAATTAGTTTTAACAATTTATTTATGTTATACAATCTGATATTTTAAATTTATTATATATGTTATTAATATTTTAGTGGGATATCTTTTATATTTTATCAGAATATTATTTTCTAACAGGATATGTTTCATATTTTATTAAAATACATTTTATATTCTATCAAAATATTTTTAATGACATAAATAATAGGATGATGAAAAACAATGGTTATTTTTATATTTTTCTCATAATATATATACTCTCAATTATTATTATTATTATTATTATTATTATTATTATTTTATTCAGCTCTATTTCACCATCCTAGTACCGGCTTTTGAAGCATATATAATGTGCTTACTGCAAAATTCCAGAATCCTCCTCGAGAAACATGAATAATAGGTAGGAGAGAATTCCACCTAAATGTGGTGATCAAATATATTTAACAATGGAATAATTTTACAAGAATAATTATTATTATAGAGGAATAGAAAAACCTGTAATTACCTTATTACCTTTCTCTTAATCACCTTTTAAAATTAGGTGCCTAATCATTATGTTTTATAACAACTTTAAAATGAACATATTAACAAGATTTTTAAATAGGAGAGGAATTTAAATAGAAAGTTAGTAATCATTTTATGTAATTATTTTAAAAGAGAAAAAAAAAAAAAAAACGCAAGAGTTCGTACATAAAATTGGCCATGCGTAAACTACTCCATTAACTTCGCGTTCCATTACCTATCTGTCTAGAATATAATCTATAAAATTGATAAATGACTCAAGTACTGCTCAATTGACAAATTGTACTCACACAGATAAACATACATATTAATATTTTATTTTGAAGAGTTTTAAAAATAAAAAAAATAAATTATTAATAATTTTTTATTTTTTAACCGTTAAATTTATATTAAAAAATTATTTTTGATATATATTTTTAATTTAATATAATTTTTAACTATATATAACTATAAGAAATTGATACTATCCCTAAAAAAAAGTCTACTAAAAAGAAGTCTCTTTCTTTTATCATGTATCTGAGTTTTCTCATCCATTTTTTTTTAATTCTCCTTATGTGTCGCGTATAGCAGTTGAATAAGGAATTCAATGCAATTATGCAGAAAGTAACGTCATTTTCTCAGTAATTTAATTGAGATGACAGCGGACTGGTATTTGTCAGATTGAAGTAATTAATTAGGAGATTTTATTGCCAGGTAATGTTTCGCTGGCTCATGTATTCTATTCCCTGCAAAAACTGTGTTCGCGGATGGTTTGGACTTTTTTTAAAAATAAAAATAAAAAAACACTAATCAAATGAACTTTTTTTTTTCCACAACGGCTTGATATATCGAGTTGAGATGTGATTTTATGTGAGAGTTTTTTACTGTAGCAAAAAAGTTAGATGTGATTGTTTGTGAGAATTTTTTACTGTAACAAAACTCGAATTCTAAACTCGAATCAACGAAATGAACGGGGCCTAATACTCAAAAAAGTTTTTAATATTTAATAAAAATTATAAAATCATCAATTCGTAAAGATAAAGATAAGATTATGTTTCTAATATAATTTTTAAAAAATAAATGTCTATAAATTCATCATTTAAGTTTTAATACAAATCATTAAAAATGTGGTATGGCATATCTTATTGGTGTAAAGCCTCTCTTATGACCGATAAAATTGACATATATAAAAGGAACATTTTAAAAATAAAAAAATTTATAGATGTATATTTTTTAAAGGACTATTGAACAGTTTGGGGATTCCAAAATACTAACCAAACGCCTATACAAATTACTTAATAATTTAAAAATAATTAATAATTTAATTTGATTTAATTTAAATTACGGTGTATGTGCAGTTTGACAGATTTTTTGAACACCTATAAAAAACAATGACAAATTTGTACTCTTGGCAGTACAAATATTATCCATTTACACATATACAATAAACATGCATTATCGTCTCCTTAAAAACAAATAATAATAATAAACCTCGACTACATAATCTTTTATGATGGGCATTCTTAAAAAAATATTTATATATAAATAGAATAGAAAGATGGTGTGTGTATATATATATATATATATATATTCAGAAAATTTCTTTAGCGGTTGTAGCAATTCAAAAAATATAATATTTTTTATTTATTTGTGTGACACCATTTATACGTTCGTATAACACTCATTTTATCTATGTATAACGCTTAATAAAATGCAATATGCCATTATGTTATATATAACTTATTTCAATATTATCATATTACACCATAAGTTATAAGCTCATATGAAAAATATTACATTTATCAGACCATACGCCCATTAAATTTAAGACCTTATAGATAGTTATTTATTTTGAAAAGAAAATATATATTAATAAAATATAATAAAACTTTAATGAAGATCCAATAGATATGCACAATATATTTTAAGTATTTCTCTTATTCAGATCATCTATTTAATGTTTTAAATGATGTCTAATTAATACATCTTGTCATGTTATTTAATAAATTTAAAACATAAAAAGTCAGTTTCAGAAAACATTTCAAAATTTTCAAATAATATAACAATATGTAATTAGTTAAACAGATTATTAAACTCCACTTTTTAATCATCCTATCACACAATTTAGCAATCATCAATTACTCTAAAATTGCAAATCAAAAAGCATGTAATTAAAATTTGATCCGCAATAAGTACAAAATAATAACAATTAAGACTACCGTTATATTTTTCAAGCAAAAAAAAAAAAAAAAAAAAAAAAGACTACCGTTATATTTGATAAACGTAAAGATAATGACAAATTCAACAACTATTAAAACAAATATCTATAATTATTGGACACAAAATAGAAAGTTATCTAATTTCAGTTTCAACATCTAATAAGTGCCACGTAGTATTGACTACTTTGTTCCAACTACTACCGGTTGCACTAGATCTCAGCCTCATTGGAAGGTTCTGAGCAGGCAGGGCAACCTCGTCATCTCTGATTCTCCCAAATACGCCTTCCGAACAACTTTTGTTTTCGTATGCGACTCTGAAAAGGTTTACTTCCACATTAGACCTCATAAAACTCCGCCACGTGTTATCCAGGGGCATATCAGTAATCCAAAGTCGCTTCTTATTCAGCAGTTTGGGTTTCTGGTTGAAAATCACGGAGATTGCATACGTCATACCATATGTCAATCACCAGCGGATAAAATTCCCATCCGTTTCACGATAAAACCTTTTTTTTTTTTATTACTATAACGGCGAGAACTTAGAAAAGTAGGAAAAGACAAAAAACAAAAAAAGGAAAAAATAAAAAAAGGAAAAGAAGTTGCACAATATACACAATTCACAAACAGACCAAAAAGAGAGAGGAGAGAGAGAAATGGATCGCGTGAGAGAATATTACCAAGTACTAGAACTCAACGGCTCTGATTGTATGTTAAACCACGAATCTGGTCATCTCACCCTGATTTTGATTATTCCCATTTGCGATTCGCTAGTTCGTACGGTCAGATTCGGTTTAGAAATTCCGTTCTTTTGTGGAGGTTGTAACAGGTTAAAAAAGTTCGACTGTTGAGTTTCTCCTGTCTCTGTCTCAGTTGGCCTTCCTTCTCTTCTGACTCGAGAGAATTCCTTTCATTCTCTTCGTTTATCGTTTTCTCGCGGTAGATCTCTGTCTCCGTTTTTTTTTTTCTGCCCCCTCGTTTTGTCTTTCCTTCACAGGCGAGAGATCGGATCGGTCATTCTGCGCCGTCCGATGCGTGGACTTTGACTCGCCCTCTCGCGATCCGAGGCATCGCCGCGATGGGACAGTGCTACGGCAAGACCAATCCGACGGCCGACAACGAGCCGTATGTTCCGACGACGACCATCACGACGTCGGCGGCGACGGAAGGGGGAGGAGGAGGAGGTGAAGTCATAATCACTAATCGGCCTCAGACGCCGGCGCGGCGGTCCGGCGGGAACGGCGTGGTGAAGACCACGCCGGCGCGGTCGTCGAACCCTAGCCCATGGCCGAGCCCATACCCGCACGGGACGAGCCCGCTTCCGGCGGGGGTTTCGCCGTCGCCGGCGAGGGCGTCGACGCCGGGGAGGTTCTTCAAGAAGAGGTTCGCCCCGCCGTCTCCGGCGAAGCACATAAAGGCGTCTCTGGCGAAGCGGCTAGGGCACGGGAGGCCGAAGGATGGTCCGATCCCCGAGGAACGAGGGGTCGAGCCGGAGCAGGCGTTGGACAAGACGTTCGGGTACAGCAAGAACCTTGGGGCCAAGTACGAGCTCGGCGCCGAGGTCGGCCGAGGGCATTTCGGTCACACTTGCTTCGCCAAGGGCAAGAAAGGTGACCTCAAGGATCACCCTGTTGCCGTCAAGATCATCTCCAAAGCCAAGGTCTGATTGATTTGTCCGGTTTTTCTTTCTTTTTTTTTTTTTGTCTGGTTTTGTGTTGCTGATTTGCAGAGTGGTGAAATTGAATTGGGTTTTTGTGCAGATGACAACGGCAATAGCAATTGAAGATGTGAGAAGAGAAGTGAAGATATTGAAATCTCTATCTGGGCATAATAATCTCGTAAAGTTTTATGACGCATATGAAGACAGCAATAATGTGTATATAGTCATGGAGTATGTATTTCTTGTTCTTGCAATGTCTGTGTAGTAATAATGTCTATTGGAATTGGTTTTTACGTGTCACTTGATTGTTCAATAGTAATGTGCTTTTATATTGCATTTCTTTTGGTATGACATATATGAACCCAATTTTTTTTTCCCCAATCAAATTAGATTGTGTGAAGGTGGAGAACTTCTTGACAGAATTTTATCGAGGTCAGTTTTTTTTTTTTTTTTAATTCATTTTTTTCTTCTTTTCTACAGGTTTATGTATTATTCCTGAACGTATAATTATGATATAGATTGAATGATCCAACCTTTATTGCAGAGGAGGAAGGTATTCAGAGGAAGATGCTAAAGTTATAGTTGTTCAGATTTTAAGTGTAGTTGCATTTTGTCATCTTCAAGGCGTTGTGCACCGTGACTTGAAGCCAGAGGTATTTGTTTTCTTCTAATTTTTCGTCTTTACCAAGTGCTTGTGATTATAACTTAACTTATTTCTGTATTTGCCATTTCTTTTATCATATTCCGAATTTGAGTTTGCTTAGCTCTTCATGTGGTTTGCTTGTTAATTTGTTGTTTGTGTTACTTTTCAACAGAATTTCCTTTTCGCTTCGAAGAGTGAAGATTCTGATATGAAGCTTATTGATTTTGGTCTATCTGACTTTATAAGACCAGGTGACTATTTGTTATTATCATCCTTTTCATTTCTCAAGCGTCCAGTTTCTGAGTACCACGTGCTTTATTGTTTCCTATTCCATTCTCATCAACAATCATGGTTTTCCAACTTTTTAATGATTTAATTAAAATGGCACTCCGTTAAATGTCTTATTTTTGCCATATATGATGGTCATTCTAATCGTTGTGACTGATATTGTTCATACAGTCGTTGATTAGGCTAAGCCTTGATAAATTTGTTAGCCTTTGCCTACAATCTAGGCTACTTGTTTGTAATAGCTCGCAGGTTGAGCACTCTAATTTAACAGATATAAATAAAGGCTTTATTTGATAATTTAACAGGCGACTATATGTTATTATCATCCTTTTCATTTCTCAAGCGTCCAGTTTCTGATTACCACTTGCTTTATTGTTTCCTATTCCATTCTCATCAACAATCATGGTTGTCCAACTTTTTAATGATTTAATTAAAATGGCACTCCGTTAAATGTCTTATTTTTGCCATATATGATGGTCATTCTAATCGTTGTGACTGATATTGTTCATACAGTCGTTGATTAGGCTAAGCCTTGATAAATTTGTTAGCCTTTGCCTACAATCTAGGCTAGTTGTTTGTAATAGCTCGCAGGCTGAGCACTCTAATTTAAACAGATATAAAAAAAAAAAGGCTTTATTTGTAAATTCGATCCAATGAAGTAAGATTAATGTCCTAGGATTCTACATTACGTCAACAAACCTTTTCTGCATGTTGCGTGGACCTTTGATACAAGTAGTCATTTTTATATTTTCATTGTCGTTTGTTCTAACTTACTAATTTAGCTTTATTTTGTTATTAGTTTGTCGTTTGTCTTAGTGGGTTTTTGTTAGTAAATAGCCATATTAGCTATTGTAATAGGAAGATTTGAGTATTGAGATATTGAATTTGAGTTAAGCGTTTTCTCTCCAATTTGGGGGTTTACCCCTGTGGGTTTTCTTTAGGTGGATTTGGGAAATCTTATTCCCATCCTCTGTTTGGGTTAGGCCGGTAAAATTTTATCTTATCTATTCCGCTACATCAAACTCCTCACCTTTCCATTATTGTTGTATAGGTGTTTTCGTCATCGACCCTTATTACAATAAGGAGATATATATAATTGTTTTACATCAATATTTTCATGTAACAGATGCAAGACTTAGCGACATTGTTGGAAGTGCATACTATGTCGCACCGGAAGTCCTACACAGATCATATAGTCTTGAAGGAGATATATGGAGTATTGGTGTTATCACCTATATCCTCCTATGTGGAAGCCGTCCATTCTGGGCCAGGACTGAATCGGGAATTTTTCGAGCAGTGCTTAGAGCAGATCCTAATTTCGATGATTTACCCTGGCCTTCTGTGTCTCAAGAGGCCAAAGATTTCGTAAAGAGGCTCCTGAACAAGGATTACAGAAAACGAATGACTGCCGTCCAAGCTCTAAGTAATTTAACTTCTCTTTTGCTTTCTGCAGTACAGCAAAGCAAACAAACCTCTTCAGCAATGTACTTCCTTTTTATTGCGCCTTCCCATGAGCTTTTATATTGCCCATACTCATTGCTCAAACGGAGTATAGATTTAGTGTTTTATAGAAAGTGCTAATTGTTACTTTTATTCCACTTTCGAAGCTTAAAGAACACTTTAAATTTGCAGCTCACCCTTGGTTAAGAAACGATAATCGTCCTGTCCCGTTGGATATATTGATCTACAAGCTAGTCAAGACGTATCTTCATGCTACACCATTCAAACGTGCAGCCCTCAAGGTACCAGTTTTTTTTTTCGCATGATGGTAGCCAAATGTATGAGATGCTGTATACTAAAAATTTAAATGATTTATTTTGAAGTTAGTCTCAGATCCTTCTTCTGTTGTTTATCTCACAAGTGCAGGCTCTTTCAAAAGCGTTGACAGAGGATGAGCTGATATATCTTAGAGCGCAATTCACGCTATTGGAACCTGATGCAGATGGGCGCATCTCTCTTCATAATTTCACTATGGTTATTTACTTCTCCTTGTTCCTTCCTCTTTATTTTTTTTGTTTAGTTTAGTTTCAAGTCTTAACTTGGTTAGTTGTATGGACTAGTAAAATGTATGTGTTCCAAAGGTCATTTTCATGGTTTGAAAAACTATATTGTGCAGGCTCTCGAGCAAAATGCAACTGAGGCCATGAGAGAGTCAAGGGTTCTTGACGTTTTAAATGCGGTATGGCTTTTACTCCTATATGGATTTGGTGGCGTTGCTGTTGGTTCTGATTTGCATTGTTGTCAACTTCTATATTCTTTACAGACTTTCGATGCCAAAAAAACACTTGAACGTCTTTAATTCAAACTTACATCTATCCATTTGTCCTGTCCGTCGTTGAATGTCGTTTCAGATGGAACCACTGGCCTATAGAAAGATGGACTTTGAAGAGTTTTGTGCAGCTGCAATTAGTACACATCAGTTGGAAGCCGTTGAAAGGTGGGAGCAGATAGCCTCCACCGCCTTTCATCATTTTGAACTGGAGGGTAACAGAGTTATATCCGTTGAAGAACTGGCTAGGGTATGAATTATGGCTTTTCAATTATCTTTCTTCAACTTGCGTATAAGCAAAAATGATAAAATTTTAATGTCAACTTTTGTTTCATCCGTTTGGCAGGAATTAAATCTTGGCCCTTCAACTTATTCAATCCTCAGAGACTGGATCAGAAACTCAGACGGAAAGCTTAGTTTGCTTGGATATACTAAATATTTGCATGGTGTGACTCATCGTAGCTCAAACACAAGACATCATTAGCATTATTGTTTATTTAGTTTTTGGCCTATAATTTCTTTAAATTGTTGGTTTCTGAGGCGGGATATATATTTTTTTTCTTTTGGGATTGGAGGAAAAAAAAACAAAAAAAGAGGATTGGGGAGAGGGCGTACAAATGAATGTTTATTCAGGGGAGAGAGTGGGATTTTGACAACATGTTAGGTCTAAAAATGTCTGTTTGCTCAGTACCCTGTTTTTGCAGATGCAAACTTGCAATGGGTTTGAGCTCAAATAGTGACAAATGATTAATTTGTGAAAGCCATAAAGATAGGAGGCTTGTAGCTTCGTATATTCTTTTGCTGTTAAATGAAAATGTCTGATGGAGATTTCAAGTTGCAAAGAACTTCTATCAAACCACTTCTCCCTTAAAAGACGAACAAAAACGACATTAAAAAAAAAGAGTAAAAACCGATTGAAAAAAGAAGCATTTTTAGAGAGAGAAAAAGAGAGGCTTTGCATGAACAGAGAGAAGGTGCATTTTGGAGTTGGTGGTTTGGCGCGAACTGTTGGCTGTTGGCCTCTAATGTTCTTTGGAAAGATCACAGTGGTCACAGACTTTGAGTTCGTGCCGACGGAAGTGTGGTAGTTAACGGAATGGAGTTGTTTAAGGAGAAGAAGTTTTCGTTTTTCTACCATAGATTTAAGATGCATTTGCTCCGGGATTTTGTTAAAACTCCAAAAACTAGGTCGCAGAAGGGAGGTAAGGAAGGTGGACTCGCACGTGTTGTCGCTGTGGACTGGCACGTGTGGCAGAGGCAACAGTGAGTGAGATCCATACACCATATTTTCAATGCTTTCGTCGTCGTTTCAAGTGCTTCTTTTTGGCGCTACTCCTACCACGCTTCACATATTTTGGACATTGAGGGGCTTGATCTTTGCTTGATTGAACTTTCGGGATCTTTTGTAAAGTTTTTATCGTTTTTATGCTTTTTTGTTTATGTTAGTGTTATAATAACGGTGATGGTTTTCCCATCTACTAGTATTTTGTTTCAATTAGAGGGTGGTTTTCTCACCGCTCTTAGGGCGCGTTTATCAAACCATAAAGGAATGTGATGGGAAACGTAATGAAACTAGAGATGAAAGTAAAATAATAAAATTAAGGGTCATTCATTCCCTTTAAGTATTTACTTGACTATTAGATAGTGTAATAGAAAATAATTTTTTCCCTTTCTTATGTTTACGAAAATTAAGAATAACAATGTTATGAATGTAATCATTAAAATGTTCTTTTATACAATTTGGTAATCATTAATAATATAGTAAATTTGAAATTTATTCTGTTTAACAAGAAATCAATACTAAAAAGATATAATGATTCACATTCTCTTTTTTTATATTTCTTATATTGTGTGGACCTCATTAAATTTCAATTACTAATTTTACAAGTAAAAGACATTTTTTTGTTGTTGTTACTACTTTTGATTTCTAGGCATGCATTCCCTTAAATGCATATGGGGATATAAGAAATTAGAGTGAAGGAGTTCCTAATAAGTTCTATCATCAGATTATTTTTTTGTGTTCTTTCTATCAGAGCTTTTTTTTTCTTTCTTTCTTTGATGAAATTTGGTTTCTCTTATAAAATCATCTATTTTCTTTCTCAATTGTTAATCTGATCAATATTTATATGATTTGAATCTTTCATGCATAAATTATCATGTGCTATAATAGAATAAATTACAATTTAAAAGTTAATTCATTATTTTATCTCTTTAAAATAATTCATTATTTTATTAGTATCTTTTCTTGATGAAATATTAAAAATTTATTTTCAAAATAAACTTCAGAAAATCCAAGCATTCATTTGGTGGGCTGTAGAGTTAAATCTTAAATAAATAATTATGGGATTCGTTTGAAAGTATTTTCAAAATTATTTGTTTTGGGTATGAACATAAAAATGAGAATTTTTTTTAAAGTAGTGCAAGGATTGTTTCTAAAACTACTTTGGGTTATTTTTCCAAAAGTTTTTTTGGTATTAGAAAAAAGTTAAACTGTGTTTGGGATATTTCCGAAAACATATATTAAGTTATACTCTTAAAAATTAAAAACGGGAATGTGAAACAACTTTTAATAATTTATAATTTCCTTTTAAAAAAACAATCTCATATATATATATATATATATATTATCGTTTTCAGAACATTTAATAACCAAATGTGATTATAAGACCATCTCCAATGTAAATGTTAATCCTAATTATATATTTAGTATAAAAAAATATGATCTATTATGTTATTTTCATTTTTACTCAAATGTATAATGCTATTTGAAAATTGAAATGTTAAATCTACTTTTTCCTATAAAAGTTTTAAAAGTAAACTTTTATTTTTAAAATAATTAACAAATATAAAAGTAAACATTTCAACCAATAGCAATTAAATGTCTAAGTTTCATATGTTAGAGCATCTATAATGCAATACTATAATTGATGTGTTAATTGTAAATTTAAAATTTGAATGCAAAAAACACTCTCTAGAGCAATACTATTTGTTTTGCTAAAGTTCTTATATGTTATACTTTGTGACAAATTTCTCACCATGTATAGCATATGAGAAATTTGACATTTAATTACTATTAGTTGAAATGTATACTTTTTCATGTAATCATTGCAACTATTGCATTTTCTAATTATTTTAAAAATAGAAGTTGACTCTTACAACTTTCAAAGCTTAATGATTATAAGAAAAAGTAGATTTAGCATTTTAAATGACATTATGTATTAGAGCAAAAATAAAAATAACATACCATATCATATTTTTTAATAGCAATATACAATCTTAACAACATTTGCATTGAAGATGGTCTTATGCTTGGTGGAAAATTTGTCACAAACTATAGCATATGGGAAAGTTGGCACAACAAATAACATTGCATTGGAGGTTTTTTTTTTTTTTTTTTTTTGCATTCAAATGCTAAATTTGCAATTGGCTCATCAATTATAGCATTACATAAGAGATCTCTTAAAAATGTGCAGTGTTATCGAGAGAGCTTCCACGAGTGAAGCACGTGCATTTAACTAATATATTTAAGGCCAATTTCATTATGCAAATTTGAATCTCATTAGACCTTAAATGGACAATTTCGACATGACTTAAATCTAAACCATGCATAAATCTTAAACTTAATACAAGTCTAATTACAAACATCTATAAATGATTCACTCCTAATTTCTCAATTCTCTTCACCCAAAATTATCAGATAAATTATATTCTTTCTCTACAAACTCTTTTTCTTCTCGTATTTCACAATTTGTAGTACTTCAATGGAGGTCTACGAGGAAGTTGTTGCTGTGCATGAGACCGCGCGATCACAACTATTCGATACGACAACGATTCTGGCAGGGTGTACGTTTGTGCCAAGTCATCGGTTGCTACTTGGCAAGGAAAGTATTGAGGAAGCCTTTGCCTCCCAACACAATCAAAGAATTATATTTATGACTATACTCGGACTACAAGAAAAAGAAAAAGGGGGTTTTGCGACGACAAAAAGTCGTCGCAAAAACCCGAATGTCGTCGCAAATAAAGTTTTTTGTGACGACACGTCGTCGCAAATTTATCAGCGCAAATAATTCGTCACAAAAACGTTTTTTGCGAAGACATAGTGTCATCGCAAATGTATTTGCCATGACAGTCTGTATTTGCGACGACAGACGTCGCTAATACGTCGTTGCAAAATTCTCGTGATATGATCATTTTTTGCGACGACATTTCAAATTGTCGTTGTAAATAATCTTATTTTTTTGCGACCACAAGTCTAAAAAAGTCGTCGCAAAAAATTGAAATTAATTTTTTTTATAATTTTTAAAAAATGGCAATTAATTAATTTTTAATATTTTTAATTAAACATTATTATGTTACATATTGAATAGAATTTATTAACATACATTAAAAGTGAAATATAAATTAATATTAAAAACAGTAGATCTAAATGAATTTATAAAATATATTATGAATACTACATGAAGTGCATATATAATGTTCAAAAAAATATAAAAGTCTAAATAAAGTGAAAAATAAAAAAGTACATATAACGGAACTAATCGTCTAAGTTTGCAGCATCACCAGCATCTGAATCATCATCAGGACCGTCATCATCTGAAGGAGGCAGAGGAGCGTCTAGGTCAACTGGTTCTGGACGATCAATCGTAGGTAATTGGATGTTAGGTTGCAATTTAGCCATCAACTCTAACACCTTCTAACTAAATTTTGGCAACATGACGGCTTATTTTTCTTATGATCGAAAAATCTAAACGTGCAGAAAAACAAGTTTAAAAGATTTCGGCACACCATAGCTGCAAGATGTGCTACCCAGAACAAGAATCACAAACATATACTAAATTTCAACAATATAAGAAAATCATAGTTCAAATATCAAAATCATAATCCCAAATTCATACAACCAAAAACTACAACAATTTTAAACTAAAAGTACAATAAATATAAAAAACTTACAAAATTCAAACCCACTAAACGGTACGTCGGAAGAACCGGGCAAATAGCAACGAAGGCGAAAAATCAAACGCTTACATCAAATTGAAACATCGAACATAATTTAACGTGGCCGAAATTAACATTTTAAATAATGTAAATTAACATTCTAGAGTAACATATTTAAATACACAAAAAAATTTCATTCCTTGGCATTAAATCTAATTATGTTAACAAATAATGTAAATTAATAAATTAACCACTAGTTCAAAAATAATTCTAAATTAATGTCATAAACTAACATTTACACAGCCTCATAGTAAATGTTTAGAAACTTCATTTAGACATTTTTACAAACACTTTACAAACAACTCAACAAAACACATAAAAACAATTAAAAAGTTACCGGAGTGTGTAAAACATACCGGTAAACATCGAACAATGAGGCGGCGACGGGCGATTAGGCGCGATGGCGGCGGAATCCGGCCGGCGGTGGCGACGGCGAGCAAGGGAAGAGAGGGAGAGAAGGGAAGAGAGAGAGAGAAGAGGAGAGAGGAGTGGGAGGGCGGGGCGGTGGGAGCGGCGGCGGCGGTCGGAGAGGGGAAGGAGAGAGAAGGGAAGAGAGAGAGATAGAGAGAAGGGAAGAGAGGGAGAGAAGGGAAGGGAGAGAGAGAGAGAAGACGAGAGAGGAGTGGCGGGGGCGGGGCGGCGGGAGCGACAGCGGCGGCCGGAGAGGGGAAGAAGATAGAAGGGAAGAGAGAGAGAGAGAGCCGGTGGCGACGGGCAGCGGCGGCGGCGAGGGGAAGAAGAGGCAGAGAGAGAGACTTAGCAGGAGAGAGAGAGAAAGTGTCGGGGGAAAATGAAGAGGAAGAAGATAGGGTATATTCGATCAGACTATAAAGAGAAAATGTCATCGCAAATAATCATTTTCCCCGCGTTTAGTTTTTTGGTGAAATCTTAAAAAGATTATTTGCG